AGAAATCTCAGTATACAGACCTACTTATTAACACTGATGAATCTTTGCTCACTTCCATCTGCCACGTGTTTACTTAATGAACACGTGGCAGATCAACACGGCTCTGTGCTGCCGAAAATGTGGGGAAGGATGCCAACGTGGAATAAAAAACAGGGCTTTGTTTTAGATTTCATTTCATTTTCATTGTGTATTGCATTTCTTTTCAGTGAATCTTAGAGTTCAGTTTAACACACTGTAGGTGTTACGTTTATTTCCTTGTCATTGGTGATGAACTAAAACATGCTTCATAATGGAGCCCCATGGGGGAACTAGTGCCTCACCCCCTCAGTGTTCCTGTCTTTCTCGTCTCTTCTTTTTATCCTTTTTAAAAATGTAATCTTTCTTTTTCAAGAAATCCATGATTTCCTGTTCATTCTTGTCCTGTCTTTCTCATCCTTCAATACCATCCACTCACCCATGTCAGTCTAGTTCTCCCTGTCGTTTTTCCAACCCCCCCCCCCCTTTTCCCTTTGCATCTTCTTGTATTGTAAACAGCTCACAAAAGCATGACAAGGTCTCTGCTCATGTTCCCCCTGCCTCCCTCTCTGTTCTCCCAGCTATTTGTTATTGTCTCCTCGCTATCGTGTGTTTGTCTCTATCACGCGTTCTTTATTCTGTTTTTCCTCTGCGTCAGAAAAGCAAAAGTTAATTAAATATGGAACGAGATGGAGCAGCATCTCTTTAAACCATCATGTCATTAAAATGGCATCCCTGGGAGATCAGCTTAAAAGGAGTCGGAGAACAATGTCTTCTCCGTCAGATATTTATGGGCCTGGTTATGTAAACATGCTCCCTTTATTCTCTATGTATATTTCATGTAATTATCACTTTTTGTAGCGCTTCCCCCGTGGGATTTGTAGAGGCAAGAAGTTACTTGGGGAATGTCATTAGAAGAGATGATTGTTACTGAGCTGCTGTGATTTTGCACTGGGTAAAAAAGGCTAGATTCCAGTCCTGGTGTAACCTTTTATCTATATTTGACTTCATCATATAAAAATCATCATGTCTTGTAAGCAGACTCAAACCCATGGCCCATGCTCTGCATTCACCCATCTTTATTAATACAACACCCTGACTGAAACATTCCACTGCCTTTTCTCTTCCTTTTATTTTTGCATCTGATCTGGAAATTCACAGATCATTTACAGGTTTGCGAGAACCTTGAAGCCTCAGCCCGCCCATGTATCCATCTGTTAGAAGAGGTGAAGATCTGGACTGAACTGGATTCAGCAGCAGAGGCCAGTGGCTGGTGCTTGAAGGCCTGGGTGCCAGCTGACGGAAGCGGCTAATTAGGAGGGCTGGGGAGCCAGTGGGGGGCCTTATGAAACAGGGGCACCTGGGTTTCACAAGAGGGGGCCGGGTATCCATCACAACTCATCTGCGTTGCACGGGGGTTGGCTGTAGTCTGCTCCAGCGCGTTGCCACGTAGCACTCTTTCACTCAAGCATAATGTCAAATACGGCTCACACAAAAGCCTTCCTGCCCCTGTGCTCTCTCGCAGCTTGTTTGCCATCACACAGGGACGTGTTATTGCATGGCATGATGAAATTGCGTATGTCAAGGTGCATTTCATTCTCTGCCGATGCACCTAAATGTAGATGCAGGAAAAAACAGCTGTGTATGGACACAGTCAAATGCACATGGAAAAAATGTGCACACACACACGCTCACACATCTGGTTTCCCACATATGCGTGACTCAATGTCCCTCTCCTCTCCATTGTTCGTTGAGTCTTCTTTGCTGAAGGGTCAACATGTCTCTAAGTAATCTAACTAGCTCTGACTTAAGGGACAATATAAGGTCTGCCATGAGTTCTATGATTACTGTTTTACCCACCACAAGCAGATACAGCTCTCGACCATCATTGAACCTGCCATATTGCTATCCAACCTGACCCCACAGATGCAGTAAACCTAAGTGAACCACAGTTTCCAAAGTCGACAGCAATAACCACTGCAGAATTGCTTTTAATCAACGTCTGAAATGAGGGTGACTTGAAGCGTCGCCCCATGCTGATTAAATGTAATTGTTTAATTGCCAAGTGCTGGGAACCCATCCTAAGAGGATTCCAATGGAATTATTTAATCTCTAGTCAGGAAGTACACTGCAGGAAAAAGCAGAGGAAAAAACGGAAGAACAGAAAAAGGCAAAAATGAAGCAGAAATAGTCTCTTTTTCTTTTGAGTACCTCATCAAATATTAAACTGTGGTTTACATTTAGTTAGCTGAGAAAGTGAACAGTCTATGCGGGGGAAAGGCGTACACTAAGTGATGCTGCAACTTGAAAAGAGGTCACTGTTTTGACCTGTATCTGCAGACTAAAGTGGTTTGGTCTTGTCTCCGTGTTCACTTTTATATTCCAACATAACCTGAAAATACTTGCAAAGTGTACTGGTTTGTGAAAATGTAGTTTCAGTTTGTCCTTATTCCAAATATGACTGTGGCATCATTACACCTTTTATTGTCCATTGGGTAGATCAGAGATGTTATTCAGCATTAAGTCATCCTAACAAAGTGCTTAAGTGCAAATTCCAAGAGTTTAACTATTCAGAGAATCTCATGGGGAAGTTATATAGGCCCTCTCCCCCCTCTGATCACTGACTGAGTCTCTGCTAATGGGACTCTATAAACTTAAGGGGCACAGGTGCGCTCAATTTGGGGTCACAGCTTTTAGATACATTGCTTGGGGTCACAGACATCCAACCCCCCCCATAAACACATTCACGTTTACACACTGAATAGGATTTATTTTTTAAACGCACACTTCTGCAACCGCACATTATTAAAATCTCTCATCTGTATTTTTCATAGTGCAACTCATCCAAGACCAATTTAAGTTGGCATGATCCCGAACATATTCAGTCAGCAGCCACATCAGCCTGGCACACATGCCATGACATTTCAATCAATCAACAAAATCAATAGCAGTAGTCCCTCTAACATAACTGCACACAGTGCAAGCCTTCCTCCCAGTGATACGGCTCTTGCTGTCGCATTTAGATACACAGGGAGTAAACCCAGGCTCGCCATTCTGCTGATAAATGCAGTTCCATCGTCCCGAGGGAAATGTGCTTGCATCCCTCTGGTCAAAGTGTGCTTCTGTCCCCCCACCCCGCCACAGGCAGAGAGGGAGGGGGAGCAGAGGCCTGTCCCTGCAGCTGTGCCCTTATTCCCCGCACCTGACCAGGGGCCCAGATGTGCACACGGGCAACAGCAACAATTTGAGCAATGTAAGTCCCCTGTGGGACCCAGGCACCTGCAAATGTAACCCCACTATCTAACATGATGGCGTAATTAGAGGTCTAACAAGTCTACATCTGGAAATAACTCATCGAATCTATCAAATCAAACCAACCCAGACTAGGGAACAATACTTAAAAATGCTATTGCTCTCTCAGCATTTCATCTGCACATCAAACAAAAGCTACTCTGCACTTGGCACTGACCCAATTAGCCATCAGGTAGACAGCATCTACATTTAAAATGCATCAGAGAGATTCAATTGTTTATTTATTATGTGCATTAAGATCCTAAAGCAGTAACGAAAATGTGTTTATTTTTTTAAATCATGGTATAATACACTTAAAATAGGCAAAAATATATTCACATTATACATTATAGTTTAGTTTTTCTCTGAATCAAGATGAAAACATTCATGCCGCTACCGTTATATTTAAGTTACAACAGGTACCAAAAATATATGTAAAATAACAGCACTTGAGATAAAGAATTTGTTAAAGCATTTTAATTACAGTCCCTGTTCAAGTAAGTGACAGTATGTGACAGAGAAATTGTCAATGTGGATAAGTGTTAGGGAGCATGATCCCTTTTTATAGGTATATTATAACATTCTGCTTTACAATTTTAGTCAAGGTCCTAGTGCAGAAATATAACACACATTAAACTGGCGATTCAATCAAATACAATAAAGTCAAACTGTTCATGGAAACCGTGGCCAATCTCCATGTTGTGTTGGAGACAGGCTCAGGCACTGCGCACACAGGAAGCTGTACAGGTTAATGGTGACATCTAGTGGCACATACTTAAACATGCATCTGCTGATCACAGTAAATGGTATTTTGAAATAGTTTGTAAACATTTGACTTCTCTCATTTAAAGCCTAATACTTTCTATTAAACATACTTAAAGAATGAAAAAAACCATTAAAATAAACATTTTTACATTGTTGTAGTTTTCTTTACAGAACAGCAACCAATCAATTTTTTTATTATTAATGAGCAGACAGTACTCAGTTTGTAGAGAAATCCATTATTTATCTACTGTATAATAATGTGCCCCAAACATAGAGAAATATAAGGTTTCATTAAACACTTTGATTTACATACATTTATACTTAATTGCACTTTTTGTTTTCATCACAGTGCTTCTGTAATATTAATAGCAAACGTTCTAACAGCAGAGGGTGATAGCGATCTATTTTAGTTAAGATGAATCAAGGTTGTCATAGTGAGATCTTTTAATGAACACAAATCGTAAATATATATATTTTTCAATTACAAGGTACAGTATAGTACATGCAGCATAACACAAACTCAACAACATATATGAAGTGACACTATCTAGCCTGTATTGCACTCAATCAAGACAAATGCCAAATCTAGAACTTTTTCTCACATGTTAAAACTCTACTGCACTAATAATCAGTCACCATATGTTTGTTATTGTGTTCAGATTTCTAGACAGGTACTTACTTTCATGCTGTTACACATTGTAAAAGTAAACACAGTAAATACATACACTACTGTACAACATCAACCTTTTATACATTTAAACACTGAAAAGCACAATTGTCAACTAAATATTATGGACTTTTGACAAATTATGATGCACAGTTTATCTGAATCTTCTGAAACGTTGTTATTTATGGGTTTGGATGTAGAATATGTCCATGGTTGGTTCTGGCACATTGTTCATCCCCATGCTTCTGTGGGTATCTGCGTGTCACTGGCTAACACGAAGGACAGATGATTTGGGAGTAGTATGCCTCTTTGGGCAGAGAATCCTGCTAAAGGCCCTGCGGAAGCTACTGTGGCAAAGTGGGTACAGGCACGGGTTAATAGCAGAGTTGAGCCACAGGAGCCAGAAGGTGACCTCGTACCAATGATGCTGGATGCACCGCCCTCTGCAGGCAGCACGGATGATCATCAGTAGGGTGTACGGTGCCCAGCAGATGGCAAACACACACACTATGATGGCCAGGGACTTAGCAATTTTCTTGTCCCTGGACAGGCGGCTAGGATGGGCAGCCCTGCTGGTCGTGTGATCTAGTTTACCCAAGCTGGGAGAGGAGGACTGGGAGTGGATAGAGCCTCTTACAGCCAGTTTCATCCCAACCTCGGAGTTGTGGGACAGGGGGATACCTTTCCCCTGGGCAGAGGCAGTTTTGCTCAGTTGAAGGTGGAGCTGGGCCTCCCTGCTGTGGAGCCTCCTCTTGCGAATGCTGAGGTAAATGCTGAGGTTGAAGAAAGCCACAGAGATGAAAGGAGAGAAAAACTCCAGCATGGAGGCACTCAGCAGGAAGTACCAAGAGTAATAGAACTCCGCAAAACACTCATCCTTTGGCACGCTGCTTCTGCCCACCACCAGCTCCCAGAATATGATAGCTGGGCCATACAGGACAAAGGCTAGCACCCAGACAGCAATCATCTTGATTATGGCTTGGTGAGTCATGCCCTGTCGTGCACGGTAACTTACCTGCAGTAAATATAAGGAGAAATAAGAAAATATGCTGAGAGGTACTGCCAGGGGGTCCCACAATTGTATTAGTTATTGCTGCATCCTACCATTATTGTAGAAATGGGGGGAAATAACAATGTGTTTAGCCATAAAAAGGTAGACAATGTTCATTTAACAGCAGTGATTGAGTTAAACAGTATAAAAAGGTGCATTTGTATCCAGCAAAATATGACTGTCTTAAATGAATGTTATAAAGTGCTAAAAGTAGTAATATAATTCAGTCTAAAATTTGAAATACATAGTGATGCATTCATTTGTAAGCATGATAAGTAGTGGTGTAACTGTAACTGGCAGATAAATGCATGGGAGTAAAAGTCTTACATTTCCTCAAATAGCAGAAAGTTGAACCCACATCTGAGAGTTTCACAATATAATGATTTGTTTGTGGAACCACATAGCATTTTGTGAAACGGAACAAGTGAACTTTCCAACATCGTGACATCATGCACTAAAGAAAAGTGTTTAAATTAGTACTAAGTCAATGGCACACCTCTTATGAACACTTGTCTCAATTAGTGTCACATCCTATGTCCCTGTGCACATTCTTGTTCAACGGGCAGCGTACTTCACCCCTCTCCAGCTCTGAATGTATGCCCCTGTTCTGAATGACAAAAAATGAACTGCAGTTCCTCAACAAAGAAGATGGAAAATGGTTCCACTTATGTTTGTATAAATTAATCGGTATACAGTAATTATTGCCCTCAATGGACAAGAATCAGGTGTGCTCATCAGAATCAGAATTACTTTAATCATCCTTGGGGGACATTGATTTTCGTGATAGATGTTCCTTTATAAAATGAATATAAAAAAAGATGGATAAGAAAATATAGACCCTTATAGGGATTCATTTTAGCCCCATCGTATAATTGTGAGATACACAATATATTTTATAATACTGTGTAGTTTGTTAATGGGCTGACATTAATGGACGAACATATGCATAAAATCTAACTCTGTCTTTTCTGTCAAAAGCATAACTTTGTGTCATGTGGCTGTTGACGATCCTTTGTCTTTCATTGTTCAGAGAGAATGCTTTTAGGAAAATGCTGCTTGGCAGCCGGTGGCCTGTTTCTGCTGTGATTGATCTCTCCAGGTTGGAAGGACCATGGCACGGAGGAGGATCTCTATGATCAAAGCTAGCTAATTAAAGAAGAGGCTTCCATCTCTCTGGTGTTATTTGTATTCATTGCTCTGATGTTAAGTGTTTGCTTGTGAAAGGAAACAGAACACTCTCTTTGTCTCCCATGCCAAGCCTCATCCCACCTTTGGGTTAACACCCACGTGTGTAGGATACAGTCAGTCAGCTAATGCACAGACAAGCCCCAACGAGAGGTTCAATGGTTCTAACAGCTGCAGAGTTTTGGACATGTTTGCTAATCACTAGATATGTGCCAAGATGGGCAGAAAATAGAAAATGAAAATAACTGATGCAGTTTAATTGGGCTTCAGAAAAAGTATGCCGCGGAGGAGCGTTGCACTGACATCGATTAAATGATTTGAATCAACTGAGGCGGTAATAATAAGTAATTTAAAGCACAAAAGAAATTTTTTTCATTTTGAGTTTGTCAACACAACATTCAAAGTTGCCCCCATCACAGGTCAGATTTACTCTCGTATTTTACAAGCTTTGTCATTTTGCCTTGCTATGTTTGTATGTTCTTTGAACGGTCCCATTTGTGTAGCTTCCTTTAGATGCATACTTATGATGTGGCATCTGGTTATAGAGGTTGAAACCCAGACACATCCCACATACTACCAAATGAAAAGAAAATAAAAAATACAGGCAGAAGGTGAGATCACAGACACCACCACACACTTCTACTGCTTATTGATTTAGAGAGATCTTAAGTCTATGCATTGTTTTTCAGGCAAATGCTCCATTATACCTTTAACAAAATATGTTCTGCCTCACTCATTGCTATGTTTCCTGAAGTACAAAAGTTGTGAGGTATTGTTTTTTTAATCTACACATTGTTTTTAGGAAAATCGTACTCATTGTGCCTTTAAGTTTAGTCTTTACATGTTACACCATTGGCGTCCTGCGTATTTTCTGGTAAGCCTAGTGCAGTCCAAAGTCAAAATGTGACTTTTTTTTATCTTCGTCATGGGGAAGGGCTATAATTAGGGGTGGCACTGGGCCTGAATGGGTCAGGAATGATTAACCTCTGCAGATGGGCACTTTTGGGAGAATGAGGTGGTTCTGCCCCTACCAATGACCTGGGAGACTCCCCAGCTAGCAGGGAACGTTCTCACAACTTTGGCTAACGTTACCTACAGGTTCTAATAATGTTTTAAAGAAACGTTTTAATCTGATGTTCAAAGAACCTTTTTAGGATGTTTATTATTTCAAATAATGTTCCTATAAGGTTTAAGGTGAACTAAGAGATAACGTTTTAACTGCAACATTCAGAGGATGTTTTGAGGATGTTATTAAGGCCTGAGATGACAGAAAGTTTTTTATAAAACATTCCTTTAATGTGATATGTTAACAAAGGTGGAACGTTTTGACTGCAACATTCTGAGGATGTTTTTTGGACGTTGTTGAGGTAACATATTATAGATATTATTTTATAAAACATTCCCTCAATGTTACATGATAACAAAACAAGAAAATGTTCAAAGCAACATTCGGATAATGTTTTCAGGAGGTTATTCTTTTTTTATAAAACGTTCCTGTGATGGCAACACGGTATTAACACGGTCATGGACAACGTCAGATTTATTTCTAGAGCGCTTTAAAAAACAAACTTGTTGCATTTGTTTGAAAAGGATGTTTTAAAAAAAATCTGATGTCACCACATTTTCCTTTTGAAAAAAACCAACAAGCACGTAATTGATGATAAGCTGTAAGCAGATATTGCATGTTTGCGGTGACATGTTCCCAGTGTGAGTTCCCAGCTAGACATTTTTGGTGCTAAAAACATTCTGAGAATGTTACCATTCATTGTTCTAGGAATGTTTTCACCGGGAAGTTTTATTTTGGTTCCCAGAATGTTCTTCTGAAAGGTAGGATAACGTTCTTTAAAAACATTCTTGAAATGTTTGGTGATAACCTTCTTAAGATGTTTTTGGTCATTGTTAGAATATTATGCCCTACTGTTCTTACAGTAAAACGTTTTCAGCGGGACGTTTTATTTTGGTTCCCAGAATGTTCTTCTGAAAGGTAGGATAACGTTCTCTAAAAACATTCTTAACATTTTTGGTGATAACTTTCTTAAGATGTATGAGCGCATTGAGACAATTAATAGGACGTATACTGTACACACGAATTTCCAAGCCAATGCACTTATAATCACACTAAGGTATGTAGGCCCACAGTATTCATAATATCATATGTGTAAAATATCAGAAAATAATCACACTTTATTTCTGACTATAAAGGTTGTGTCTCGTATGTAGGTTCTAACTGTTAGATAAGCTATCTGTCCGTTTGTGGTTTGTGAGGGCTGCGTATAAACAGTGTCCACTGTTTATGCATAGTGGATAAAAATCGTTATTGCACCTTTTAGATTTGAGACCGACAGACATAGAAGAACGGACCGACTGAAAGCCTGCAGCCTGCACTCATTCCCTGCCGGATTGTTGCCGTGAACGGTTTGTTGCGTGCAGCTCTAGCTTTTTGCCAGCATATTCTTTGACAACTTTGCCTGCTTTTGCCTCACACTCATTTGTATGTCTCTCCCAGGAGGAATCCAAGGCCTTCCACACTCCCAAGACCAGCCAGGCCTCTCTACCCACCCTGGAACAACTGTTTCCCACTGCCGCCATAACCAACTTCCACTCCCAGCTTCCCTTTTCTAATAAACAAATGTTACTTTCACCAGCTGATACCGAGTCTGATTCTGGGTCCCCTCCAGTACATGAGACTTGTACTAGCTGCTGGTCACATTTAAAAAAAAGAATGTTTTTAGAGAAAGTTATCCTACCTTTCAGAAGAACATTCTGGGAACCAAAATAAAACGTCCCGCTGAAAACGTTTTAAGAACAGTAGGGCATAATGTTCTAACAATGTTATCAAAAACATCTTGGGAAGGTTATCAAAAACATCTTAAGAAGGTTATCGACAAACATTTTAAGAATGTTTTTAGCGAACGTTATCCTACCTTTCAGAAGAACATTCTGGGAACCAAAATAAAACATCCAGCTGAAAACGTTTTAAGAATAATAGGGCATAATGTTCGAACAATGTTATCAAAAACATCTTAAGAAGGTTATCAAAATCATCTTAAAGTTAACAACGAACATTTTAAGAATGTTTTTAGAGAACGTTATCCTACCTTTCAGAAGAACATTCTGGGAACCAAAAGAAAACTTCCCATTGAAAACATTCCTAGAACAGTGAATGGTAACATTCTCAGAATGTTTTTACAACCAAACATTTCTAGCTGGGTCACCAGTCAGAAATTAAGCCACAGACCACAAGCAGTAAACATGTATATGGCTCAAAGAAAAGGACTGTTCAAATGTTGACATTATGCTTTGAATGAATCCTTTACTCATATAAAGAAAAAGCCAATTTATTACGATCTGAGTGGAAACTGAGACGAGGAAAGTCAAGTAAGTTTACCTTAATGTGACTATGACATAATTTCAGATTGTTTAGTAAATATGGCAGGTAAGTGAGCCATGAGTCACAATCCTGAATTGCTTTTAATGGCTGTGTGCAGTACAGATGTGAGGCATAGGATGTTCCACTCACTGCTCTGGTGACGGACAGGAAGCGGTCGTAGCTGATGAGGACAATGTTGAAGACAGATGCAGAACAAAGGAGGTAGTCCATGACCAGCCACAGCTTGCACAGTCCGCGGCCGAGTGTCCACTTTCCTGTGAGGATGTAAGGCATGTACACTGGGATGCAGAATGCCCCTACAGAAACAATTAGTGTGAGGGATTTCAAAGCATACACACAGAACGTCTTCAATTATGCACATTAAAAATGCTAAATGGGGATGGGGTGGTGGGGCGCCTTTAAGTAAAGTGATACCTTAAAATATGTTTACCTTTATGAACTAAAGGGAATAAGGTGAGTGAATGTGAAAGCTCATAGAAATATTGCATTACAAAATGTATCATTGCTGCCAAATAAGGAAAGAGAGAAAAATAGTGTTGAAGAAGTGTTTCCAAGACTCTCCACTTATTATATTGGTTCCATCATTTAAACTCATTAACAGCTGCCTAATTCATGAATGTAGTCCTACTCAGCTATACTTAGTAGTGTACACATTTAGACTACAGGGACCAAGGCAGGCATAATCAGTCTTGGGTGCATACATCATAGCAAATCATGAAAATAGTATTTATTTCAGAAATAGCTCATTATACATGCATTAAACTTCACTCAATATCCGGTCTCTACAGAAAAACAAATGCTTGACTTACCTACAAGAAAATCTGATATTGCCAAATTCAGGAAGTAGTAATTACATTGTGTCCTCAAACTCTTATCCACTTTAAAAGCGAAAATGACCAGTGCGTTGCCCAAAACTATCACAACGACCAAAGTCACCATCATTACCATCAAAATGACAAACATGGGTCCTGAAAAAACGAAGCTGCTCTGGACTCTAGTTGAGGTGTTGTCAAAATAGTACCCGCTGGAGTTGGATTCAGTTTGTTCCACCATGGTCCTGATATAATGGTGAGGCTGCTGTCGTTATATCCTCAGTAGACCAGCGCTGATAATAGTAAGCATGCAACAGGTGCCAGGCGAATAGACAGTGCATCCAACTCCCCCATGCATGCTCTGAGAGCTGCGCTTTCCTGTTCAAACTGAGCACAATGTTCAAGAAAATCCACGAGAGAGCGCACAACGCACTTCACAAAACGCTGTCTGACTCTGGACACTTGATGAATTACGCATTTTATAGCAGTGCCAAAGGTAAGGTAAAGCGTTAATGTAGCCTACTTCTTCAAGCGAAGAATAGCTTAATTTAGCACACATTGTATGTAATGCCATTTTATGACTGTCAAGTAATTCCAAACACTGACACGATGTATTGTCGAGATAATCAACTGTCTCGAGAAGATTTACAATATAAAACGCCACAGAAAAGTTGTGTTCTCTTCTGCACAATCAACAAGTTAGTTGTCGTATTAAAGAAACAGGGTGAAAAAAATAGGTTTTGGAAGTTCATGATTGAAATTGTTTGCACTAATATTTGCGCTTTTTTAAATGTCAGAGTGAATTTCATTCTCTCTCTCTTTCTTTTTTCTCAATGCTGTCAGCAGGGTAAACTGATCCATGTGATTAATAGTCCCCAGTCTATCTTTTCCCTGCCATTATCCATTAACTGATCCTCATTTGATTCACAGACACAAACAATTGGCTTGCATGTGCACACCAGGGCCGAATTCACCATATACATTGGGGGGGGGGGACATCCCCCCCAATATTCAGATACGCTCAAAATGTCCCCCCCAATATATAGCCTAACTGATATACATTTTTTTAAATAAAATTGCTATTCTATAACTTTTTTATTTTGGCTTGTATACTTGAAAATCTTGATTTTCTTCACCAAAATGATATATTCTTTTCATATGTAAATTGGTTCCGCCTTTGTTTGTTTATGCATACCTTTATTTTGTACCCGGGGGGTGTATTTCGCTGTTGCACGTCCGAGTCCAGCTTCAGTTAGCGTTGATGCTCCAAGCAGGTCAGTCATGTTTTAATTTGCCCTCCATCAGTTCTGGTATCTTTTTCTAGTTAGCCCTAAACTATATTATTTTATTTCGTAATGGTAATGTTAATGAACCCTCCGGTTTAGCTTCTTTGTGTAAATAACTTGTAGTTCTGATGTTAAAACCGAACTTTTCAGGAATATAGGGGAGTGATTTGTAAAATATGCATAAAGAAAAAGTAAATCTGTTTACAGTTCTGTTTCATATGGGTGTTGAGAGAGGTATCCATAGATTTCCTAATTTTGCTCTCAAAGTGCACCAGATTGAGCATGCCCCCCGGACCCCCCTAGAGGAGGTTAGGTCCACCACCTGCCCCTACAGTGCAGCACACTTATTGTGTATTATATTGTTGCCCAGGGGCGGACTGGCCATCTGTAGAATCTGGAGAACCACAGAACGACCGGCCACACGAAGAGAAGGGCTTAGATGCCGCGGCAGACAGGGAGAATTAAAAAACATTGATACAAATCAAAGAAAACGAAAAGAAAAAGGTGGGGCCGAGAAGGCAAGAGAAAAAAAGGTGAAGTCACTCGCAGGTGAAGCATATAAATGTCGCAACTTGACAGATCTTTTTGGCAGCAGCGGTGCCACAAGCACTATCATCAGCAGCTTACAACAAGTGCAATATGATGAAGAGAATGATGAGGGCGCGAGTTCAGATATACAGCCAGCCTCCTGCATTCAGTGGCGCGGCGCCAGGGTATGGCTGGGGTAGGCTACAGCCATACCAAGAAATGGCTTAGCCCCACCATGAAAAATGATGTTAAAGTAAGCAAATTAAATTAAATAATAAAATTATCTGGCGTTATAATATCAGCGCGGCCGCGGTCGGATCAAAATGCCTCCGAATGCAATTTGAATAGACCTACAGCCAATCAGAGCAACGAAACGTTGGGTCTGCGTTATGCATTACTGATTGAGATCAATCGGAACCGCCATTCAGTATCCCCATTGGATCTTCAACGTGTACTATCATACGTCACGTTCACAGTGATCCCTTTTTATTTACTACAAGACAAATGTGCCGTTTTATTTCATACAGTTCCATTTTGATTGACACAGGGAAATAATCTAAACCTCACGCGTGGTGTTTCACTGTCAAGGGGGGCGATATAGCGTGTATGTAATTACATCGCAAATACTGACTTGAGCCCCACCACTGTATGGGTTAGCCCTACCATACATTACCCAACAAAAATACTCTGGCGTCGCCACTGCCTGCATTCATGATGAGGGACAGAGAGTTGAGCTGGTGGAAGAACCAGCTCAACTGGCACATACAAGTGCAGGGCAAGAGCAAGAGGTGGGTGAGAATTATCCCTTGAACTGCATAAATGCAGCCTAATAAACAGCTGATTTCTAATAACTAATAACAAATAGTACTGTTTGTTTGTGTGTTTACTGTTTTACGATGTCCCATGTGTTTAAGACATCTGAGGAGTGTCCTCCCTCTTTAGGTGAGAATTATCCCTTGAACTGCATAAGCCTAATAAACAGCTGATTTCTAATAACTAATAGTAGGCTACTGTATTTTTTTTTCTGATGCCGAACGACAAAACAGGAGTGAGTGTGAGGCACATACTGGATGTATCTCACTGAAACTCTCATCAACACTCCTTGTGAGATTCACAGTTTATCACAGTAAAAGTCTTGTCTCCACCTCCAATATGTGTAAATGTATGTATTTCATGTACTCGTTTAGATACTTGTGGGTGTATAACCTCCCAGTGGCACACAGTGGAAGAAGCTGTAGACCTTATTTGCATTCTGATACTATCCTGCCAGTCCCCCAGCTGTGGTCCAAGAGAAATGAGAAACACTACAGAATAGTAGAAGTGACTGAAGGAGCCCAGCTTGAATTACTGTTATTTTCTCACAAATGGAGCCACCACAATTTTACAGAGTTAGTCACGTCACAGTTGCACCAGAGGAACCAGTGCAGGCAAAGGCACACAGCAACCGTAGGAGTTTCAATGCAGATCCACCAATGTGGTTTACATTATGAAAACTTAAATCCGCTTTTTAGAGTCTGACCCATGGCAATCTTCATTCTTCCTTTTGAGAAAATAAAAATGACTGTGTGCTGTTGTGGCGATCCAGCATAACACAACAGGAAAGAATTAAACAGAGAGGAATCAATAAAACACAAACACAGATATAGCTGATAAAGTAATTATTATTTAGTTGTTGCAACAAACAATAATAATGAGGAGTACATCACCTGCTGCCACAGCAGCCAATCGCGGAACTGCCCCCCAAGACCAGAAAGATCTCAAGTGCTTTAAAACACACACGAACATACACTTGAAACAGCATACGTGGCAGAGATGTTCCAACCTTATACAGTCAGATATGTTGCATCCTCTGAGTTCTACATGATCCCAGATGTCATGACCTTATTTAGCAGCTACCACACATGCCAATGTATACAACTGCTGGTGAAGAGTTTTAGCTTGATTGCCTATAGATGGGCCTCCTTCCGGCAAACCAAATGAACAACACACCGTCCACTATACTGTAGCTTATACCATGTGACATTAATGAATATACCAGAAATACGCTGTAATAAACATTCTGCTATAACACTGCTTTTATAATGTGAGAAATGGGAATGATGATCAAATTCAACATTTTTGTTATGTAAAATATAAATAACAACCTTTTTTTTAAATATTGTACCTTGTCAGAGAGAGAGGCTAAAATGACAGATAACCAAGTCAGTCATGACAGGGGAAAAACATACAACTACAAAATAAGATGAATTATTCACAAACCATCCCTATGGCAATCTCTGGTAAATACTGAAATTGTTGACTACGTAACTAAGAACTGCATAATGTACAATGTTGTTGTGTTGTAAGACCTTATTTGGCAGATGGTGAATGGGAAAACAACATACAAAAACCATAAAAGAACTAGAAGAAGTCTAGCTTTGGCAGTAATGGTTAGAAATTGATATTTAGAAGATGTGTTTGATCAACGGCAAATGTTAGAACATTTGTTATTGATTGCTAAAGGGCAGTTTAAGAAATACAGTTTGGTTTTAAATACTTTATAATGTAGTAGCTTAGTGTACTAGATACATAAATAGCATGATTAACTGCTTTTCTCTACAGGATGACTGAAAAACACATTGTGTCGTGGACAACAAAGTCTCAGAGTAGTCATGGAAACTCACGCTGTGCCGTCATGGAAACTAATGCACACAAATAAAGGTTTACACCAGTGCTATAGTATTAGTGTCCAAAAACAAAAAGGTATGCCATCATGAGGTGCAAATCACAAGACAAATCCTCATCATAAGTAAAGCAAGGATTTTGATTTTGATTTTGATTTGCCTCTACCAGACTGAAAATGTTCACAAACAATAAATAATATATGCCATAATATAAAGATCATGCAGGTGTGTCAACCAACCCAACATTAATATTAGATCATTACTGCAAAGGTCATTCTTAAGTTGATCTTTATACCATACTGAGAGCTACAGGGAAATATCAAGTATGGTATCTATACAGCTCAATGTGTATTCATTGAAATATAATTATGGTTTCCTTTTGTAAAATATGTTAATCTACTGCATACATATTAAACAGAATGCAAGGAAAGTGTGTCAGACAAGCAATGAATTTGGCAGGTGCATTGTCGCTGGATTTGGTAATACAAGTGCGGGGACTCATCTGAAAATGGAGGGCACTCAGAAACAAAGCAGTGCCACAGAGGGTACACAGAGGCTCTAGTGTTGCTGATTATACTGTGCCCTGCTGCGGCTCTCCATTACTCTAGTACTGAAGTGTTTGTGTTTGGATGCTGGGTTGGAGAACTGATGCTATCATACTGTAACAGTGTGCCTATCCA